GCAGGTTCACCTTCCCTCTGGTAAAGTGGCACCATCAAGAGAAGCACAAGTGACACTAGAAACAGAGATAATTATATCCACCATTTCAACATCACACCATACATTTTCCGCTGCATTTGCAGCCCTGAGGATATTGTGCTGGTGAACTGCTTAATGCTTTGTGATATGATTTGTCTTCATGTTAAAGCTTTGTGCCTTTTCATTATGAACTGCAGTTACAGTAGCTTGTTTCATGTCTGTATGTGCACAGTATGAGTTCAAATATACAGTTCAGCAATTGATAGGCAAGAAAAGTAAGCCAGTATATTTTTACAATCTTTGTATTAAAATTCACTTTAGTGTCGCAGTGATCTTAAAATCTAAACTCTTATTTTGAAGTGACTGTCTGTCAAAAATTGACTTTTCAGACAGTTTCTTGTTAAACTTTGCATCTTTAGAATATACAGTAGACATTAAACCATCAGAACTGAAACGAATAGTACAGATCCCAGTATAGTACCAGAATAGTACAGCACAAAAAATCTACAATGTTTATACACACACACATATACACATACATACATACATACATACATACATACATACATACATACATATATATATATATATATTAATGCTTAATCATAGCATCTAAATTAATCTGTCAGGCCTGTGGTAAGGCCAGGTCAGACATATATAGTCATGGCCATGTCAGGCCAGGTCAGAATCTCATAATTACAATATGATGCAAATGCAGCCACACAAATCATAAAGTAATCCTTGCTTTTGAACGTCATGCAATATGCTGAACTACAGCTGATATGTGTAACACAAAACTAGCCTGTCAACTGCTGACTTGGTGCATCCAAAATCAAATATTACTCGAGTTTGAATATGAATTTGACTTCACGGCCATTAGCAAAGTATGTTCTACATATAAATCAGAGTAGTTGAATCATATATAGAAGAACTGTCTGTCGTTTATTATTATACACTCTCAGAAAAAAAGGTACACGAGGTGTGATGGGTGGTACCTTTTCAAAAGGCATATTCATAAATTCTCTCATGTGGCCTCAATGGATAGCGAAGTGTCCATTGAGCGGGCTCTTCAGAATCTCTCTGGTAGTTGTACTGTAGGTCGTTTTTCCAATATTATATATTCAGACATGCTGCTTGGCTCACAAACAGTTTTTCACATACTATATACTGTAATTACTATGCAATATTTGTGACTTATTGAATTGGGTGGACCAGATGTCAATTTACAGAGCAGCAGAACAAACTTAAAATGAAAGTGTTGGTAAATGGAAGATATTTGATGCATACTTTTGAGTAGGTATAGGGCCATGACCTATGAAAATTACTCCTACACCAGTATCTGAAAATGTTTGACATTCACAATTGTTCACATACCCTATACTGTATTAGGGAAGTATGTGGTTTCAGAGATACTATGCAGAATTTGTGACTCATTAGATTAGGTAAACCAAATGTTGGTAAATGGAAGATATTTGACAAATATTTTTGAGCAGGTAGCAGGTATGGGCCATGGCCTATGAAATTTACTCCTACACTAGTATCTAAACATGGCAGAATCAGTCCAAAATCCGGTGTCACTGTAGCTAAAATACTTGTTCAAAAAAAGTTACAATTTCAATTATTACATTTTAGATGGTTTGCCCAAAAAAATTTTACTCATCTTCCACTTCTTGCAAATCAATCTGAATTTTTCTTCTATTGTTGAACAATAAGGAAGATATATTGATGAATGTTTATTTCCATAGTATGCTTTGTTCCTATAAATGTCAGTAGCTTCTTCTTTCCAACATTCTTCAGAATAGAAAGAAGACAGAAATTTCTTTGGCTTTGAGTTTTCATTTTTGGATGAACTTTATTTAAATATAATTACTTAATTATATAAATATAAATATTAAATACAATTACTTATAATTATTTACTTCATTTTAATATAATTTCCCTTTCAACCCTAAAAAAAACTAATCCATTACTGAACGTCAGAATAACCAGAATGTCATTCAGCATCAGTCACGACAGAGCAGACAATATCAATGTGGCAGGGTGAAGGGTAGAAAGGAAATGCTGGAGTTAATAGTGAGGGGCAAATTATGTCAGGCTTTTGAGTAGATATGACAGAAAGCTGCGCAGATGTGAAACGACAGAGGATTCACTCTAACTGAAATCCACGTGGTTCCCTGAGGGAGAAGGAGTGTAATTAAAACATGGCCAATCTGCGGCTGCCAGACTCGTCTCTGCTTTGCTTTAAAGGCCTTCCGTTCAAAAAAATCCCACCACTCAAGCAGCTTCCGATTCTCACAAACCTCCACTTTGATTCCTCCTTTTGTCTGAGCCGTGGATTTGTGCATAATACATTCAGAAAACGTAACCTGAATTGCATTTACATTTACAATTTTTCAACCAGGGGAAAAGCCCAAACTGTTTACACTGGCATATTACATTTACATTTATTCATTTAGCAGACACTTTTATCCAAAGCCACAAACAACTGAGAATAGTAGACGCATCAGAATGCAAAATCACTCAAAAAAATATTTTTACTGCTTGTTCAAACTACTTATTTGAAACGAGCTGAATCAACACAATTCTTGAGTTTTTTTGGGACGACTTAATTGTTTTATGTTGGGACAACATAAAGGAATTATGTGGAACCCGGCAATTTTTTACAGTATAAAGAGATGCAGTGACAAGAGTCAGTTAGCTTAGCAGTATGTGATTTTATTTATTTCTTTAAACCAGTTTTATGTTTACTTAAAGTATATTTTTGAAAATAGACAAAAAAAGAAAATTGTAAGTCAAAATTATTGATTTTACTTTTATGCCAAAAATAATTAGAATATCTAATAAAAAGATAAGATTTCTTTCCATAAATATATCAAAATTTAATTTTGATCAGTAATATTCATTGTAAACAAAACAAAATCCACTCCTCAACCCCCCTAGCCCACACAGAAAAATAGTCTATAATATTATACATTGCGTATACTTGTAATCAACATACAATAACCTAATTTAGACATCTTTAAATTAACTTTTCTTAGTATTTCAATTTTTTGAACCCTCAGTTTTAGACTTTCAAATTGCAGCATCTCAGCCATGCGGCACAGTGACTCAGTGGGTTGTTCTGTCACCTCACAACAAAAAGATTCACATGAAAACACAAAAACTCGCTGTAAGACACTGTTAAGGTCATGCTGAATCAACAGGCAGCGATAAAAGTCTTTTATGCTGGCCTCACACCAAGACCAAAATGAAGAATTTGCGCAAGTAAGGTACATACAAAGTAAATGCTAACACGCAAACAGAGGCAAATTACTGTCTCACTGCGTAATTAATGCAGGCTGCGTTTGTCATGAACAAGCAGAATTATCTTCAACACCACGTTTTGGTGTGAATCCAGCATGAGAATAAAGCGGTGTTGGTCAATCATGAAGGAGAGGGTCATAAGGTCACAAGATCACACTGATACTTCGTTTCCACACTGTGATACCACACCGTGACTCAGCTGATGCTGCTTTTTGTCTAGACGAATGGCCAAACTGCATAGAAAAACACTTTGGTTTTGAAAATAGCAGTCTTCATGTGGAAAGGGCCTAAATTGGCTATAGTATATGAGAGTGTGTTAAAGAAAAAGTTTATTGGTGTTTCCCAGCACTGAGGGTTGCATGAGTACTGGCATACTTAAAACAAAGTTATTTTTCATTCTTCTTTCAGGGAAAAAAAAAGGGGTTTAAGGAATGATATGCTGTATTTTAGCGACTGTACATTTGTACCAGCTCTGCTACTCAAGCTGTTTATTCTCTTTTGTTGTTCTTGTTTTTTTTTTCCTTTTCTGAAATCAGTGAATATGAGATATGAATCAATTGCACGTCAAAGGCAGCGTAGACCCAGTGCATGCCCACCAATTGCATAATTAGTAATGGTAGTTCAAAGGTGTTTGGGAGCCAAAACAAACTCATCCAAAAGCTCACTTTGGTGTGCAGTTTTAAACTGCCGAAAAGAACACAAAATGAATTTCGCTTCAGACAGATTTTGTTAGAAATGGCAAAATTTAAGTTTGTTGATTGATTTTGTATCACCCACCCATAAAACATATGCCAGAGTTATTGTTTCATTCAACTGTGCCGATCCCCGTTAAAGCAAGGACTAAGCTGAAGCAAAGTGAGTGAGAATCTCAGCCAAATATTGTCCTATGCTAACAAAGTATACATTAGTTTATTTACTCAGATGCATAAGTCTCAAAGCATGTTTTTTCATGTTAAGTGTGACATAAAAGAAACTAACATTGCTAAACTACAGGGTGGGCCATTTACAGTATATTACACCTTAATAAAATGGGAATGGTTGGGGATTTTAATGTCCTGTTTGCAGGACATTAGAATATGTGAGGAGGCAAAATGTTCAGGATGGGTGATGACCATGGTGGCCGTTTTGAAGTTGGCCATCTTGGATCCAACTTTTGTTTTTTCAATAGGAAGAGGGTCATTTGACACATTAAACTTACTGGGAATTTCACAAGAAAAACAATGGTGTGCTTGATTTTAACGTAACTTTATTCTTTCATGAGTTATTTACAAGTGTCTGACCACTTATAAAATGTGTTCAATGTGCTGTCTATTGTGTTGGATTGTCAATGCAACCCTCTTCTCCCACTCTTCACACACTGATAGCAACACCGCAGGAGAAATGTCAGAACAGGCTTCCAGTATCCGTAGTTTCTGGTGCTGCACATCCAGTAAAGTTCTTGGATCTTGAAATGTTTGCCCTCTCACATATACTAATGTGCCACAGACAGGACATTAATATCACCAACCATCCCCATTTTTATTAAGGTGTATCCATGTAAATGGCCCACCCTATAATTGAGATTTGATGAGATGAATTAAATATAATAAGGGATTAAATAGGGACTGAAACAAAATGAGAAACAAAAGGTGTGTATATACAATAACATCTATTATGTCATTTTCTCATTGGATTTTTAGATTGACTCTGACGCTCTCGTGTCCGATGGATCTAAAGAATTTCCCCATGGATGTGCAGACGTGCATAATGCAGCTGGAGAGTTGTGAGTAATCTCGTATGACCTCTTCTCATCAGGAGCTTGTTATGTAACTCCCCCCAGCCCTCGTTCACAGTTCTGCGGAAAGCAGACACTCATTTGATAATGTAGCTTCAGCATGAGGTCAGTAGCAGATTTGATGTGAAGCATGTTTGGCATTAGCATTCACCTGGTAGAGTTGTGCTAAAATTATGGGTAGGGAGGACCCTGAAGACATTCAACATGTCGCCTTAAAATATCCTCATAGAGAAATCTTGTACTATCTCTAGACAGTAACTTGAGGACACATAGGTCGGACGTTCTTTCTACAGTCTAAGTGCCTTGTATCTGGTTAAAGATTAGTGAAGCTAGTGGTCAAAGTGTTCAGCAAATCATTCAAAGAGCTTTCTGTGGACTGGAAAACATGCCACCGCTCCCTCGATCTTTCCCATGATGATTGCTCTGAGCTGGGGTTGAGGCTTTTTAACGAAAGGCCTCATGTCATGGGGAATATGTCTTTATAACTACATATTTTAGAGTGGCCATGTTCTTGTTGCAAAAAAAGAAAAAAAAAAGAAAAAAAAGAGTTGCTTATTGAGAGGTTTAATGTTACATTATTTCTAACAGAAAATTGTCTCTGCTGGAAGTTTGATCATTCAGTAGATAAGAAATGTGTATAAAGGTGCAAAAGTTTATCTGTTAATTAACAGTTGTCTGTAGCTTGCAATTCATGTTTTACATTTATTTAGGCTTTCATTTTGCATTATAGGAAGTTTGGACCTGGTCTTCATTACTGTTTTAAAAAAAGTGTAATAAAGTGAGTTGTACTGACATTCTTAGAATTTTTATAAAACTTGAGGCATTTTTGGCATTTAAGGTTAATGAAGCAGGTCATCAGACCACTGTGGTTCATTCTGTATAGTCAATATGAAAAAAGCCTTAAGGGGCAAATAATATTGACCCCCAAAATGACAATAAATATATAAATGTTGGTTTATTTAAATAAAATAAATAATTTTTTTTCTTAGATGGGCTACCAAACAAACCACACATCCCGTAACTTACCTAATTAAGTTGTCTAGTTAATTCAATTAACCTATTTAAGCCCTTAAACTGCATTTTTAGCTGAATTTTAATATCTTGCAAAATAACTGGTAAAATATTATTAAATATTAATATATCATGTAAAAATAAATTGATTAAAACATTTATTATTAAAAATGTTGTTAGTATCTTTATATGATATATGATATATAAAAATAACCATATACTGTATAAAACATTCATTTCACAAAGCTAATAAATTGTAATCTGCAATATTTTCAAAAAAAAATTTGAAGCAGAGATTTAAGTCATATAATGCAATTCAAAGCCTAAATAAGCAAAAAAAAAAAAAAAAAAAAACACCTGCGAAACAAGCTACGGGCAACTGTTAAAGATATTGTTTTCCAGGTAAGAATAGAATAGAATAGAATAGAATAGAATAGAATAGAATAGAATAGAATAGAATAGAATAGAATAGAATAGAATAGAATAGAATAGAATAGAACAGAACAGAACAAGCAGGTTCACCTTCCCTCTGGTAAAGTGGCACCATCAAGAGAAGCACAAGTGACACTAGAAACAGAGATAATTATATCCACCATTTCAACATCACACCATACATTTTCCGCTGCATTTGAGCCCTGAGGATATTGTGCTGGTGAACTGCTTAATGCTTTGTGATATGATTTGTCTTCATGTTAAAGCTTTGTGCCTTTTCATTATGAACTGCAGTTACAGTAGCTTGTTTCATGTCTGTATGTGCACAGTATGAGTTCAAATATACAGTTCAGCAATTGATAGGCAAGAAAAGTAAGCCAGTATATTTTTACAATCTTTGTATTAAAATTCACTTTAGTGTCGCAGTGATCTTAAAATCTAAACTCTTATTTTGAAGTGACTGTCTGTCAAAAATTGACTTTTCAGACAGTTTCTTGTTAAACTTTGCATCTTTAGAATATACAGTAGACATTAAACCATCAGAACTGAAACGAATAGTACAGATCCCAGTATAGTACCAGAATAGTACAGCACAAAAAATCTACAATGTTTATACACACACACACACACACATACATACATACATACATACATACATATATATATATATATATATATATATATATATATATATATATATATATATATATATATATATATATATATATGTATGTATATGTGTGTGTGTATATATATATATATATATATATATATATATATATATATATATATATATATATATATATATATATATATATATACTGTATATATATATATTTTAAGTTTTATTAGGTTTATTAGCTACCATATTAGGTAGCCTACTATGTTAGGTGTGCAATCTTACACGACAATGACACAAATCCTAAAAATAAAGCTTCTTTATTTTAGTCTCTTTTCAAGACAAAATCTAAAACGGTAGGGATTTATCCAAAAAAGTCCTTATAACTCTAATTTCTATGCACAAACTTACTTTTTCTCTCTCTAAGATTTCACTCACCGGAGAATCTGACATCATATACCTCACTCAGGACATATGTTAGAGCCTGCCCTACTGTAATAAACCTAAAATAGGGATTGCCATCAAACTTGTTGCAGGGAAGCAGTTTCTCTCATTAACTGCAGGAAAAGAGTTAAACGGAAACATTTAATTTACACAGATCATAATAGCAGGCATACATGTAAAGCACAAATAATGTCCCTAAATTTGGTCATGTCCAGCGGCCGTCATCGCGCATTCTAACAAGGGAGCGATTTGTTTGTGAATGAATCTCCGTTATGAACGACTCGTTCACTTAAGTAATTAGCCGACAATAATACAAGTTTCTGTGTCGTCATATTTCTTTTTCATTGTTTGCTGATTTTATTCGACAAAACTAGCAAAAGCCTAGAATTTAGTGCAGGTTGGTGCTACTTTGCCTTATGGTGAATGCAGTAGGTGATGGTAATATCAACTTGTTGAGCACAAATGTTCATAACATACAAAAACATAATTCTGACCTATGAAACCTTCTACTTCTGTGCTTTGTTTTCTAAGTTTGCTCGTTACTACACCCGTAGGCAGCACTAAAGTCCAGCATCTTCACATTGACAAACTGTCTTGATGTTTGTTCTGGGAGCCCTGTACAAATGTGGCAGCGCCAGTGCGCATGCTCAGAGTTCGTATGCGGTATCTTGTGTACATATCTATGATCCTTGATCCAATCTCCATCATTGTAATCTGCTTGCTGTTCTGTCTGTTCCACTGCTCTGATTTGTTTGAACTGCGAAAAACTAGGTGGTCTGATAAATAAAGTTATAAATTTAATTAACTTAAACTTTATAACCTCCTAATTAGCTGCTTATTAATAGTTAGTGAGGTAGTAGTTTGGTTTAGGCAACCCAGGTTCATTCTAAAAATGTACCTCTATTTACATTTCTGGAGACCCAGAAGCTACTTTTTTTTTTTCATTTTTTATTTGTATTCGTGAATCCACCAGAGGCTGCTGTGTATGCTTTTTGAGATCTCAAATTTTTCTAGCGAGTGCCATTCACACCTGGTGTTCTTGTGTAAACCCACTAGAGGCCGCTGTTGACTAACTTACTGACTGACTGACCAACCGATCGATCTCCCCAACCTCCCCTTTCTCTAATCCCAACCAATGGTGTTTTCAAAAGCA